AATATCTACGTGTGGCTAAGCCGGGGGTCCAGCAACAACTGGAGCTTGAGCATGGTGGTCCATATACGCCGTCGCCCCACCCGTCGCCCATGCCCAAGAAACCAGCTCCATTAGAAAATGGCACCCCTTCGGCAACGCCGCAGCCGATAGCAAGCGCACCTGTCATTGCCTCGAGGGAGGTCGAAGCGACTCCAGAGAAACCCACTCCACCAGTTGAGCCTACACCGCCTCGGCCGATTGCTTCCGGTTTCACTGCGGTTAACACTTCCGGTGGCTTTACTGCCGTCAACCGGTCTCCGTCTTTTGTGGCGGTGAATAGCGCGCCGGCAGTGAAGCGTGAGGCTGATAATGGCTCACTCACTCCCAAGAGTGTAGCCGAACACCCGGGCAATGGTCACGGCGCTCCGCCCATGAAGCGCGCAATCAGCCACGAGAGTGGTTCTCAAACGGAGAGTGGCGAGCTCGATGCCAATGGCCGTCGCAGCAAGCGTCTTCGTAAAGGTATTCGTCGCTTGCCTGCGAGTCATTTGATCCTAACTGACACAAACAGACGCGCCGTTGCCCACTGTCTCTGGGTCCCATATGAGTCTTCTCCGCCCTGCTCCTCCCCGTCAACGCAAGACGGACATTCGGAAAAATGGAGATGTAAGGCCTTCTTTGGTGTACGGCTGCAGAGCCTTTTCTAATGAGTCCTAGAAATGTGAAGTTTGCGGTAAATCCGAAGACCGGCCTTCGATCCTGCTTTGTGATAGTTGCGATCATGGATATCACAAGTCCTGCCTCGATCCGCCTCTCACCACAACTCCCGAGTACGATTGGCATTGTCCCAAGTGTCTCGTCGGCACAGGGGAGTTTGGGTTCGAAGAAGGTGGGGTGTATTCGCTCAAGCAGTTCCAAGAAAAGGCGAATACATTCAAGCAAAAGTATTTCGCGTCCAAAATGCCATTCGACCCTGTCCTCAACACTCACAGACGCGAGTCTGAAGATGATGTCGAGCGTGAATTTTGGCGCTTGGTGGAGAGCTTGACAGAAACCGTTGAAGTCGAGTATGGTGCCGATATCCATTCGACCACCCATGGAAGTGGGTTCCCTACAATTGAACGCAATCCTCTCGATCCATATTCAGTTGACCCGTGGAATCTCAACGTGTTGCCATTCCATGGGGACTCGCTGTTCCGCCATATCAAGTCCGATATCTCCGGAATGACGGTTCCCTGGGTCTACGTTGGTATGTGCTTCTCGACCTTCTGTTGGCACAATGAGGATCACTACGCGTATTCCGCCAATTACCAGCACTTTGGTGCCACCAAAACCTGGTATGGCATTCCCGGGGCCGATGCGGAAGCGTTCGAAGACGCAATGCGGCAAGCAGTACCTGAACTGTTCGAAGGCCAGCCGGATCTTCTCTTCCAATTGGTCACGCTGATGCCACCCGATCAGCTCAGGAAAGCTGGTGTCAGAGTCTATGCTCTCGATCAGCGAGCTGGACAGTTTGTCATCACCTTCCCTCAGGCCTACCATGCAGGTTTCAACCATGGGTTCAATTTCAATGAGGCCGTCAATTTCGCTCCGGCTGACTGGGAGCCCTGGGGCGCCAGGGGTGTTTTGCGCCTGCAGGACTTTCGGCGACACCCGTGCTTCTCGCATGACGAGCTGCTCCTGACAGCTGCCGCCCGCGATTCGTCTATCACCACCGCTAAGTGGCTAGCACCAGCTCTGCAGCGTACTTGCGTGAGGGAATTGAACGATCGGGCCGCCTTCGCCGCACGCCATCGTGAAGCCGCTCCGCACAAATGCGCATTGTACTCCGAGGACCCCGCAACTGGCGACTGCCAATTGAGGTTTGTTGTCGAGAAGGAAGACCTTCCCGAAGATGACTACCAATGCCATCACTGCAAGGCATATACATATCTCGCGCAGTTCCGGTGCCGGAAGACAGGGAAAACCGTGTGTTTGCCACACGCCGAAACATACGACTGTTGCGGAGAATCACTAGCGCAACGACTACTTGGCCCGGATCACGTACTGCGTTACCGCATGAGCGACGAGACCCTGAAGGCCGTGGTGTCGAAAGTCCAGGAACGCGCCAGGATCCCGGAGGCATGGGGAGAGAAACTCGACAAGATCCTAGAAGACGAGCCCAAACCCCAATTGAAGGTCCTCCATAACCTACTAAGCGAAGGTGAGAAAATCCCATACCATCTGCCTGGTCTCCCAGATCTCGCGGCCTTTGTCCAGCGCTGCGATAAATGGGTTGAAGAAGCAACCAATTACATTACCCGCAAGCAGCAGAACCGGAGGAAGAACGAGAAGGCGTGGCGCAAGGGTACTTCCAAGGCTGCGCAGCTGGAAGAACGTGATCGTGAAGTTCGCAGAGTAGAAAACATCTACGCCCTTCTTACAGAGGCTGATAAACTGTCGTTCGACTGTCCACAGATGGCGGCACTGGAAGAGAAGACCCGCGAGATCGAGAAATTCCGCCAGGACGTTAACGTTGCCCTCATGAACCCCCACATCCGATCGGTCCAGGAAGTCGAAGATCTGGTGGAATCCTCTCGCAATTTCAACGTGGAAATACCCGAGGTTGAAGGACTAGAGCACATCCTCCGACAACTGAAATGGAAAGAAGACGTGCGCCGCAGGCGCGACCAATATTTGACCCTCAAGGACTGCCAGGAGCTGATTCTCGCCGGCGACCAGTTGAACTTACCAGACACCAACGACCACCTGATCTACCTCAAGGAACTCGCTCGCCTTGGTGAGGCCTGGGAAGCGAAGGCTAAAGAACTGATGGCCGTGGAATCCGTTCACTACCAGCAATTGGAGGCTCTCTCTGCGCAGGCATCTCGCTTCCCTGTCTCCACCGAGACCCTTGCCGCTGTAGATGCCATATTAACCAAACAACGTGAGGCGCAGAAGAGGATCCAGACCCTCTACGAGAAAAGCAAGGACCCGGATTACCGAAATCGTCCCAAATACAAGGATGTCCGAGAACTGATGGAGTCCTTGGAGGGATTGAACAGTCGGCCGACCGGCGCGATTGACTTAGAGCGGGAACAAAAGCGCCATGAAGACTGGATGCGCAAGGGAAAGAAGCTTTTTGGCAAAGCCAATGCTCCCCTGCATATTTTGAAATCTCACATGGAGTATGTGGAGAAGCGGAATTCCTATTGCTTTGATCTGGAAGATCGTTGCCGGCCGCCTGTTGAGCCTGCGTCGCGAGACAACAGCCCAGATGGTCTGCTGGAGAGCAATCCCCCTCCCAGCATGTGGGGCGGGGGAAAATCACGCAAGCGAGATGTGTTCTGCATCTGCCGACACTCCGAGGCAGGCATGATGATTGAGTGCGAGGTCTGTCATGAGTGGTGAGTTTACTGTTTTATAGGTACTCTGGATCTAGTTCTAACCGTTGGCCATAGGTATCATGGAAAGTGCTTGAAGATTGCCCGCGGAAAAGTCAAGGAATTCGACAAGTACACTTGCCCGATTTGCGACTGGCGGCAGAAGATTCCTAGGGATGCTGCTCGTCCGAAGCTAGAGGACCTCCTCGAGTGGCAAGCCGAGATCCCTGGTCTGCCGTTCCAACCCGACGAGGAAGAGATCCTGGACAGTATCGTCAATCAAGCAACCACGTTCCGCGACTTCCTCCAGAGCTTCACGAATGCTGCCTGCACGACTACCGAGGAAGTGCCCACGCTGATCTTCTACTTGCGCAAAATCGAGGGAGCGGAGGTTCTGTTGGCGTACGAAACGAACTTCTTCCGTCAGGAGATCCACAAATGGGCGCCTGTTGCACCGGAGGCCCCGCCTATCCTGGAACAGTCACTTTCCACCCGCAAACCTCGGCCGACCAAACAGCAGAAGATCATGGCACAACTTGGCGTGGAGCGACCCGAGGATCTTCCCCCGCATCTACGCTCCAAGCAGCCCAACCCAGTCAAACGCAAGTCCATTGATATCAGTACGGGTCGGCCTACCCTGCTTCAGGCCTCTCCTGGCGGCGGTGACGGTTCCAATTCGGAGTCAGGGCCTACCTTGACCATGGGCGATCCGCAGAACCCGCCGTATCCTTTCTCTGCTAGCTACACACTCTCTGCGTCTGACTCGACGCCGGCTTTTGCGCCGGGATCCTCGGCTTTCCTGCCCCATGTCTCCTCGGCAGACTCGCCGTCGTTCCCGCCTCGATCGCCTCCCCTCCATCACTCGGGTCTGGATACGTCTCTGTTCAGCTCCCCGCGGTATACTCGGGATCATCACGACGGCCCTCCTGGGGTTGTTGACTCTCAGGATCCCTTCGACAGTAGTCCTCGGCAAAACCTGGACGATGTGTTTGCCGATCTCACTAACCAGGACACCGAAGGGGATCAGGAGGCGGAGCCCGAGCCGGAGCCCATGGAGAACACACATGCCAACGAGGCACTGGAGGTTCTTGATGTGAGCAACGGCGAGAATCATTCCGAGCTTCCGGATGACGAGTCTAGTGATGATAAAGTCAATGGCCACGTGGATGTGGACGACATCGAATAAGCGCGCTATTCCCCCCCCTCTTCTTCCTTTCTTCTCTCTTCCTTGTTAGATCCCTTGACCTTGCATTCAGGCATTCGGCGGCGTTCCGAAGTTTTCATCTGGTGGTTTTCTGTGTGTGGTTCATGAATGAGTAACGGTGTTGACGTGTTTGGGGTTTGATTTCGAGTACTACGGTGCTTTAATACTAGTTGTTATGGACTCGGTGTATTAAAAGGACCAGGCGAGCAGGGTCTCATCCATGCGTTGTTTGTTTCGTGTTTGTTATTAATGGCCTGAGCGCCCGATGTACAATGTCAATTTCCTATCTCTTCATGGTATTATCATTTTCAGACTGCCTCGTAGTCTTGTATACCCGTGCTTGTTCGTATACCGTGCTAGTTCATCGTATGGACCCGTGTATCTAATCCAGGTCTTGATCCAGGCTACATAGCGCCACAACAGTCCACCACTCTCCAAGACTAGGTAAATCACTCAACATCAGCATACGCACTCAACGCCGACTGGCCCCCGGTATGTATAAACAGCACATTCACCGCGTCGCCGGGCTCCTCCGCGAGCTTCCCAGGCCCAGTTTCAGACTTCCCCCTCCCCCTCCTCCTCCGCCGCCAATCCTCCTCCAACTCGCCCGACCCCACCCAATGCATCATCGCCCGCGCCACCTTGGCCGTATACACGGGGTCGAGGACGACGGCCTCCGTGCGCGCCATCACATTCATGGCCTGCTTGGTCTCCGCATCCAGCACCCCGTATCCGGCACCCACGAACCGCTCCTCGACCGTCACATCCGCCGTCGTGATCTCGCGTTGCGGATCATCCAGCCCGATCAACCCGGCCGCCTGCCGTGCGAGCCGCAGCACGCGCTCCTCGTGGTAGGCCTTGGGGCTGGTGGGCGACGTGAGCACGCCGATGATTTTGCGGGGTGGGCGGTGCTGTTGCTGCTGCCGTGCTGCTGCTGCTGCTGCGGTTGTTTGTGAATGTTGTTCCTCCATCTTCTCGAGTAACTTGAACCCCGCGATCAATCCGCCCAGGGTACTTCCGCTCCCGCAGGCGACGAAGATATAGTCGTACCGTGATGTCGGCAGAGATTGGGCTTGCTGTATGGCGGGGGCGTCCTGGGATTGTTGGAGGGCCTCCTCCTGCGCGACAATCTCAAACGCACAGCGCGCGTACCCCAATCCACCGAGGGGATGCAAACTGGCTCCTGAGGGGATCCAGTAGGGGATCTTGCCGTGGTGGGTGCGGAGGGTGTGCATGATTGTTGCGATGGGGTCGGGGTTGTTGTCCTTGGCGTTAGTTGTGTTGTTTTTGTTGTTGCCGCCGCCGGCGTTTGAGTCTTCCTTCTTGGCCCGGGGGCTTGGGAAGGCAGCCACATTCGCCGAGTCGAGCAGTCTGACATCTGCGCCGAGCAGCTTCGCGATCTGGACGTTGCCGGTGCGCGCGAAGGCGCGCGGGTCCGCCGCGGTGCGCCATCCGCCGCCGGTGGTTTTGTGGAGGCAGAGCACGGCGGAGAGATTGAGGTGGGTGGCTAGGGCGGCGACTTGGACGGTGTGGTTGCTTTGGAGGGCGCCTTCTGTTATCAGCGTTGGCTTTTGAGGGGGGGTGGTGGTGGTGGTGGGGCTTGATGATGGCGGTGGTGGTGGTGAGGGGCCACTCCCCCGCTCGGGGCTGGGGCCCAGTCCCCCGTATTGCGGGGTGGGTGAGAGGATGTCTGGGACGAGGTATTCGAGTTTGCGGTACTTGTTGCCGGAGCAGGCCAGTGGGGAGGCTTGGTCTTCGCGTTTGGCGTGCAGGGTTATTTGGGTTTGGGGTCGGGGGTTTGGGAGGAGGTGTTTGGTTAGGGCGGGGAGGGGATGGATTGGGGATGGGTGGGGGTAGAGGAGTGGGTGGCGCGGGATTTGGGCGAATGCTGGAGGGAGGGTTAGGGGTGCCATTGTGTGAGGTTTAGTTAACGGATGTGTTTTTGAGGTGGTGAGGTTGAGGTTGAGAGGTGAGAGGGATATTATATAGTGGATGCCTGCGGAGTCTTCTGCTGCGGGTTCGGGTTTCAATGTAGAACTTAGGGTTGCGGTTTCCCGGGAGGTTGAAAAGAAAGGGGGGTCCGGGGGTTCTCCCCCGGATATGAACAGGAGGGGGATTGAAGTGGGTGTAGTGGGATTGGGATAGTAGTTTGTCGTTGTTGGAGAGGAGTATATTTATACATTGTGAGTTAAAGGATATGGACACGATGGCGGTGGGATTCTGCCGCGATGATGTTTAATGGCAATCCAGTCGGTGAGGGGAGAACTTATCGATATCGACATCGACGACGAGCTTCGTTCTTACGCTGCGAAGTCAACGCCCACCAAGCTCACCATGCCAGCCCTCAATCGGAGTCTCTTCAGATTCCTCGCTCAATCCCTCCAAACACATCACCGCTTCCTCGCCGGTCGCATCACCCGCCCGGAGGAGACTCCGATCTACGTCATCGGCAACCCGTCGGCGGACGTGGACTCGATCATCTCCGCGCTGGTGTATGCCTACTTCGCCCATCCACGCCCTCACGTTCCCCTCATCAATCTCCCCGACGTCCCCTCCGGGCCCGAGCTGCGACGTCTCCGCCCGGAATTCCTCGAAGCCCTGCACCTGGCCACGCACCCCGCGGCCCCGACCGAGCAACCATGGGAGATTGAGGCGGACACGACCGCGGACCTCCTCCGCAGCCACCTGCTCACCGTCGCCGACTTCGCCGCCCACCTCGCCCACTCCAATGCTGCTGATACCCTACCCCATGTCGACGCCGTCCTGGTCGACTGGAACGCGCTGCCCAACCGCTCCCCCTCCCAAAAGGGCCGAGGCACGCTTCCCGGTCTCGAGGCGATCACCTTCAACGTCGTCGGCTGCATCGACCACCACGTCGACGAGGACTTCCTGCCGCCCATCGCGGCCGACCAGCCGTTCCTCATCCAGCCCACGGGCTCCTGTGTCTCCCTGGTAGTGAGCATGTTAGAGCGAATGGGCCGGTGGACGCCGCACCCTCTTTCCTCCTCCTCCTCCTCCCCCACCACCACCCCATCCCCCAAGAACCCAACCGCCGACACCAGCCCGGAGGAACTAACCACCGCCGCCGCCCACGAGCACCAACTCTCCAAGCTCGCCCTAGCACCCATCCTCATCGACACAGCCAACTTCACCGCGAAGGAGAAAGTCACCGACGCCGACACGCTATCCTACAGCTTCCTCCGGGCGAAGATCAACAGCACAAACTGCCAGCAACAGCTCGGGTCCATCGCCGTGGGCATCTCCTCCGGCGAGAAGCTGTGGGACCACCACGCGTTCTACCGGCGGATTGCGACGGCCAAGGAAAACAGTCTGGAGCTGTTGACCGTGCCCGAGGTGCTGGGGAGGGATTACAAGGAGTGGGTGGAGGTTCCTTCTTCTGTTTCCTCCTCTTCTGTTGCCGATGGCAGCAGTAAGGATGGGGATGACAACGCAGCAATCAAGATCGGAATCTGCTCGGTCGTCAAGTCGCTGCCCTGGGTGATCCGGAAGGCCGACAACGCCTCGCCTGATCGGTTTCTGGACGAGCTGGTCGCGTTTGCACGCCACCGCGGCCTGGATATCGTCGTGCTGATGACCGCGTTTGCGGGGCCGGCGGCTTCTGCTTCTGCTTCTGCGTCTCCCTCGTCTCCGGCAAAGTCAACGGGGAAAAAAGGACGGTTCCACCGCGAGATTCTCGTCGGTGTGCCCTCCTCCTCCTCTTCCTCCTTCTCACGCAGGGCCACCGCCATCGCTGCGGCGGAGGCATTCGTGCAGCGAGGCCGGAAGGAGCTGGGGCTGGAAAAGTGGCGGGCGCTGCTGGACGAGGACGAGGCGGTCGTGCAGATGTGGTTGGACTGCATGGAGCACGACGACAGCCACGAACACGAAAAAATGTGGAAGGGGGTGTGGGTGCAGGGCGATGTGACCAAGAGTCGGAAGCAGGTTGCTCCGTTGGTTAGGGAGGCGGTCCTTGCTGTCTGACGCAGTCATTATTGCTATCGCTCTCGCTGTGCGTGGTTGGTGGAATTGGTGGTTTTGGTGCGTTTCTTGCGGTGTATATATCCCCTGCATTTAAACAGATCTATAGTATTGTATAGCATAGTAGTATTATATAGGAATAGTACAGCATAGGATAGTATCGAACAGGACAGTCCAGTATAGTATAGAGCTACTAATTCCCTAGTAAATCCCGATTCGAATGTGAAGAAGATTCATGTGTGTGTATCTATGTGACCAGCCGTAGATCATTCAGACATCATACAATAGTACAAACAAACAGGGCACAAAAAGTACAGGTAAGGTGAGGGAAGGTATGCAAATGCAACGTTTTTTGCTTGCTTGCTTGCGTGCTTGCTTTGCATGCTGTAGAAACGGAAAGAAACCAAGACGAAACCGAATAACGCCGCACAATGGGAAGAGTTTTGGGGAAGGGGGGAATTATGATTATATAATTCCCAAGGGAAGGGAAGGGAAACAATCCCGAATGCAATGCAAAAAGGAGAGGAAAAGCAACAAACACAACAGGGGGTGACTTGCCCCCTCTCCCCTCCGAGCAAGGAATAATGTACATCCTGCAGCAGTGGGACACGTGCTACAGAGTGTAGATGCAAGTGCAGTGAAACAAATGCAAGGGTACAACAGAAAAGAGAAAACCCAACCCTGGGGCTTCAGACGATGCGATCTATGCTGGATGTAACCATCAAGGTAAGGAAGAGAGTAAGAAAAGGATATGCATGTTCAGTTGGGTTGCAAAGGATTCGCGTGGGTAATGCCAATAGCCAGGATAAAGTTACTGATGGAGGGTAAGTTGCTACGTCAGTAGCATTCCCATTCGCAGAATACACACCATCGCGCAACGCGGTCGGCGAGAACTAACCCCCGCCAGATACCTCGTTCCCCAATCTTGATGACCGTCTCCCACACGCTGCCATCCGCCGTGGCGTCCGTGGGGGAATCGGCCAGGCTGTTGGAGCTGATCATGTGGTCGGCTTTGCGCGTCAACCGCAGGATCTTGCCCGAGGGAGACTGGATGGCCAGCTTGGCCGGCTTCTCCCGCCCGGACAGCGAGCGACCGGAGGAGATGGCCGAGGTGGAGGCCGAGAACTCGTTCGAGACAGCGGAGACCGACGATCCTCCCGCGGAGCTGGACACCATGCTCAAGGCACTGGCCGGCCGCGAGTAGACGGACGGCGACACACGACCACCACTGACCCCGAGATCGCTGCCGCCCGGTTGGTAGGGGGACGAAGCGGGGTGTTGGCGCACGGCAAACACAAAGGTATTGCTCACGGCCAGCTTGGCGCACTGCGGCTGGATGATGTATAGATCGTGCCGTTGGGCATGAGGGGTTGGATGGCGTAGCACGAAGTCGTACGGCGGATTGTCTCCCGTGTGGATGATAGGTAGGGCAAGAGCCAAAGGATGGGGGATGTCTCGGCTGGAGTGCATGAGCCCCTTCTTGCCTGCATAGATCTTGACCATGCCTTGTCCCTCATCACCCGGTAAGACCGCCTTGACGGTGATCCGTTTTTGTCCATTGATCCAGTCAGGCTGGACGAGAGCCCGTTTGCGCACTGTCTCTCCGTTCTCGAAGCAATCGCCATCTGCGTCGCAGGCGAAGCCGGGCGCTTCGACTTCGGCTGCGCATTCGACGTCTGCGGGAACGAGAAGACGGATCTGCATGACCTCGAGTCCCTCGATCCGGACCACGCTGGTATCATAGTCTGGGAACTGCATGTTTAGCTTGAAGTACGGCGGGCAGGCGGCTGGAAGAGCCATCAGGACATCGGGCGAGATGGGTGGGCAGATGTGCTGCTCATGGGGTGAGAGCGGAAGGTGAGTGTAACAGATCTCTAGGGGACGCGCTAGGAAGTACCAACTCTCGGCCACGGAAGTGTTGTTGGTGACGAATAGATTCCTTTGCGGATTGGTAGGACTGGCTAGAGAACAATCCATGATGCGCCATTCACCATCCACGAGGACTGAGTTCCACCAATGGTTCGCGCGTGCAACGCCGTCATATTCGTGCAATTCTCCTGGGCTTTTCAGGAAGCCTCGGATGACTTCAGCATGAAGACCAACGGCGGCACACATCTCCTTGACCAGAAACGCAACCTCCTGAGGGCTTCCCCGTTTCGTCTGTAGTACGCGTTTCAGGTCAATCCCAATCTCTTCAACCGGCTCATCCCAAGCAATCTTCTCGCTAACCCAGGTGAAGATAGCCCGCAACCGTTGAATATCACTCTTGTACGGACGACACACATACCCATGGGCAAGACTGGCTGGATTCGTCATTGGTGGCAGACTGTTGACGAAGCGGGCGCTCTTGTCGACCAGACTGAGATTGAAGGAACCAAAATTGTTGGGTTCGCTGATGGGCAACCCATCAATGCTTTCGTCACCTTCCGCGGTCTCATTGAGTTCCTCCACCGCGTAGATGACTGGGTGGTCCATCATTTGGCATCGCTCAGCTCTCTCGACCCGCTCATTGTGACTCGGAGAGCTGGCGCGGTTGACATCACGCCGCACCTGCACCCAATCTATGGTAGAGGCACTTCCTGCATCCCGAGCTGAGTCCCGGCTAGATTGCAAGGCACGGATCGGCGAGACACCTCGTCCTTTGGAGGGGGAGAAAGTACCACCGCTCTGACCAACCGCAATGCTACTCCGAGCGTTAGCTGCTCCCGTCTTCGCCGACTCGAAGATTTTCTTGAAGAATCCTGGTTTCTTGGCCTTTGGAGTAGACAGACCCCCAAGCACCCCTGCGGTCTCTTCCGGTGCAGCTTGAGCAGCAGACCATGGAATGGCAGAAGACGCGCCCTGTCGAGAGGTATTGTGGCTCGAATGATATGATATCCCTGTGAGTGGCGTTTCAGGTCTAGATACCCGGGATACATCGCTGAACCCTCGAGAGCGGAACGTATCAGTCGCTGTGTTTGGTCGTTCAGCTGGCGTCATTCTCCTAGCGTAGCTTCCGGCACTTGTTGCACTAAATCCACCAGCTGATGGACCGCTCATCACACTGAAATTGGTTCGCTCAGTACTTGCTGTGAGACTGGTGCTGATGCTTTGCACCCCGCTCGAGGAAGTCGTGGTGCTCGACTTATTTGTGTAGCTGCGATTGAGTAGATCTTCACGGAGGTCCTGTCCTGATCGTCGTCCTCGAAGATATGGATACTGTGCCGGAATCGAGTTATGTCGGCCATGGTACGGCACGCCTCTTGGAGGAGGCGGTGGAGGCTCTTCGTCCTCCTCTGGCTGAATCTCCTCCGAGCCCTGTCGATTCTGTTCCTGCATCTGACGGAGGCGGCTCTCCATTCTTTGTACGTAATTGTTCAGCTGCGGAGGGCCATCCGGATAGGGGTCATGCGTCCAAACGCTGTTCCTATGTTTCTGGCTCCCAGGTTGTTGATATTCCTTGTATCCGTCGAATCCCATGGATGTTACGGGTCGGTTGGAAGTTCGCAAGGGTCGACTCTGACTCAATCCTTCGTAGGTATCTGGTGACCAGGGGTTATTAAACAGTGGCTGTGTCTGTGGCTGTGGGGATGATGATTGCGTGCTTCGAGACAAGCCCATATCCTCCAGAGAGGTCATAACATCCTCCATTGCATCACGGAGAGGAGAGGGCGTAAGGCCGCGGCCCTCAGAATGGGCAGCAGGCGATGGTGTCCTGGGCATGGTAGCATAACGGTCATTCATATCCAACCGCAATGGGACTAGAGGCCCAGGAGATGACTGTCGATGTACCGCCACGCGATGCGGAGGTGGGGGCGGAGGCGGAGATTCTTCCCGTTCTTGCAGCTGTAAGGGCGAGATCTCTCGGGAAGATCGCCCGGGTATTGCTATACCGTGCCGATCGGGATATGGGGAGGGCATGTAGTCGTAGTCGGCGGGGATATGTGGAGACGCGGCATGAGATGGAGGAGTGGGATGCATTGTCGTTCGCACAGGAGGGATCAGTGGCATGTGAAGCTCGGGGTTATCAGACGGGTAAGGCGATACAGCTCGAGACGGGGGTCTGTTGCGGGGACTATCGGAAGGATACGGTGATACTGCTCGAGACGGGGGTCTCATGCGCGGGTTATATGGTGCCGGAGCGCTCGATGACAGGAGCGGATCAGGCTCAGCTGGAGGACGAGGTGACGCTGCGCGCGATGGAGGCCGCGACCGCGAGGGCGGCCTCGATACAGAGCTCCGATGCTTGACTGCGGTGGTTGGCGTTCGCAATGGTTTTACCTTTCCAGAAAGGCTGCCATCCCGGGGTGGCGTCTGTGGAATAGAGCTTGCCATAACGGGGGAAGACGACATGCCGCCACGAGACAACTCGCCCGTTGGCGCAAGAGCTTCCCTATGGGCTTGAAATGGTTTCCGGAAAACGGTCTTCGTCTTCTTCGGCGCCGAAGTAGGGTTCGTTATCGGAGACACCGTTGCGGAAATCATGGGGCTTGTCGACCTAGTCACAGGCACAAAGTCCTCCCCAAGGACCTCGACGAAGTTGGATGGGAACAGACCCATCATGCGCCTGTCGCGCCGTAATCGACCCATCCACCATTGTCCATCTCCCGCGTTCAAACATTCGATAAGATCACCTTCCACAAACCCCAGATCACGTTTTGTCTCGCCTCCCCACGAGTATATGGCTCGACACCAGCATGGAAACCGGGCGGGGAGTTGGGGAGCGGCGGGCGCCATTGCGACTGCGGTTCCCCACGAACCTCCGACTGTATCGTGGCAGCGACCTGTATAGTGCGAGTCAATTTGAGATTAACTTAGGCTTGGTATCACGTCAATGGACAAGAATATTCCCGGGGTGAATGAGGTGAAACCGGAAAATACAAGGCAACGAGACGAGTCTAGTCCCAGGCGCGCTGTGGGTCAATCAAGCAACGATAACGAGAACATCAAGAACAATAAGGTGGAGCTGCAAACCCAAGCATGGTAGACTGCAAGCCGGTGAGATGGAATGATGTATCAGATTCCAGGGGCAGTGGGCCAGAGGAATGCGACGGGGAAAAAGACTGCTCTCATGCAGCAGTACTGGGGAAGCAGGGCGCCTCGGTCATAACAGGGAGTGAGAAAGACCGAGGACACGGCGCGGGAGAGAAAGGGTGTGGGGAGGGGAAGATGGGATGAATGCAAAGGAGCGAGTAGGAGAAGACGAAATTCAAAGACGAGCAGGAGCAATAGCGAGAGTGAATAGCGACAGAGAATCTCGACACGGCGGAGAGAGAGAGGATTGATTGAGAGATTGCGAGAGAGGGAGAGAGAGAGAGAGAGGGACGACGGGAGCTGAAGTGAACGGTGAGGCCCGATCGATGTTTTGGTGTTTACGTGGGCACCCAATCGGGTTTAGTGGGCGGCTTATCGATAAGCTTATTGCGCACTGTCCCCGTGGTTCAATTCGCCGCCGTCGGTTTCATTCATTCGTCTCCAGCTTCTCTTTCGTCTCTGGTTCCCCTGATTGCTGTCTGACGCCTTATCTACGATCCATGGTTCATTTCTCCTGCTCCCCACTAAGCTTGTCTTAAACCAAAAACACCATCAGGGGTCCAGACTTTCAATACAGCCTAAGAGAGCAAGCACCGCGTCGTTGCTTTCGAAACTTGTACCAGAAACACTGAACCCTGCAAATAATTACACTATCAGACTGCTGATGAAAACTGGAACAAAGGCTGGGAAACAACCCATTATCAAGCCTTTGTCCTGCTCTAGCCGAAGATGATGCGCAACGAGTCCTTGTGCGCTACCTTGATCGGTGGTTGTTGCAAACCTATATCTGGAGCAAATTGCTCATCAGCCACTGAGCTCATGTGCTAAACGTTGTGTATGCCTGGCTAGGCAGGAATGCTGCCAATGTTGTTCAATTTGCGGGCGCAAATCAAGCACAAGCTAGTCTCTCTGACACGCACGTCATGAGACAAGCCTTGAAGCTTCGAGGGTAGTCTTATGATCGTTCTATGTTTCCTCTCGCTGATGCTTTAGCTTTGGCCTCGTTGTCAAGGGCAGTTCGTGAAAAACCAGTTTGGCCATCGATACTTGGACTAGGGTCTTCCAGAATGTTGATGATATATCCCTGTGTCCGATCTGCTGTTGTGACCGATTCAACTTTCATCACAGGGACATTATATGTTTCTGTGCTTGGCAGTCACGACCAGACCCTACCTGGAAGCAACCGGCTCTGTACGGCTGTAGCAATGCGGAGCCGTTAATGTTGACCAAGTTTGATTAGAGAGGAACTCTAGCTTCTCATGGCCTGAGTCTGGAAGCCAAATTCAGGGCGGATTTCTGATGCCTAGAAGATGGATTTGCACCTCTCATTTGGCACTTTGGCATCAGGCCCACTGCAGTACGATGTAGCGACCAGAGAACCGGACCTCTTCATCAGGACCGACAAGGTACAGCGGAGATGTTATAGTGATGTGTCATTCATACAGCTCAATTTGGTATGTGGCGCATTAGTGCTGTCAATTGATTATGTTGCTTGATATGAGCTGTCACACAGAGATTTTGATCTTATCTGTGACACAACAACATTGGTCACTTCAGGAGGGTTGTGTTTGACCCTACCTTAAATTGAAACTGCTGCCGTTTTCCTTTAATCAAAAGCAGGTTGTTTACGAGATCAGTTGGGGAAGCATTTGCAAAGGCGAGTCCATGAAGCCCGCTTAATGAAGGGTTTACTAGGTGCGCAGAACGGTATACCTAACCAATAGAGCCTTCCTTGATCAGAAACAGAATATTCCTTAACAAACGACTACCCCGTCATTGCAGATGCGGAGGTTCAAAGAAGTCGACAGAATCAAAGTAGGCGGTAGCTACCAGTGTCGATTAACCTCTTTCTAAGATATTGCCCATCTTCTCTCTCGTGGTTCAAAGGCCAACATACTTGACAACCAGGACAAATTGAGCTATAAGTACCCCGGATATCAAGTCCAGCAGCTTCCCAGGAAGGTAACTTTCTGAGGAATCCTACAATGGCATACAATCTATCCGGCCACTGACGGGAGGAGAAACTCGGGTGCCTAGGGGTTGGAATACCTTCTCACTGTTAGCAAGAATGGTATTTCCCATGAGCTGCTGATGACTATGTCACGTACTCATCGAGGAAGAATTGCGCGCTGAGCATGGCTTGGTCGATATGAACCGTCATATTATGACCACGACAGTCCAGGGATTGCTTACTCCATGACAAGCAATTTGTTCTATGGGTTGTCTCATTGTGGCTGTCTGGGCCAAGCTCATGACGGGCGGGTTATTTGATATTGTAATCATGATTCGAGCTTGGGTCTGGTCATGACATCAATAAGCCTTGCTAGTGACATTCCACGCCCCTGATTCAGTTCATCGATCGATCATATCTTTTGGCGGTGTCAACAAAAGCAAGGCTGGTAAGGTCGCCGTCAAGGCACGCACCCTCAGGTTTTAGGCATGTTTCCCGGTAAACTCCACAGATTCCGCCAAGCCAGAAATCTTACGGCCTGTGCCGTGGAATTTTGTGTCTCATGCTCCATGAGGAAGTAAAGCGAGGGGACTCGGGAGGAAAGGAGAGGAGAGGAGAGGAGCGGACAAGAGGAGAAGGTAGTAGTGATTAGGTGCGGTGTCCAAACAACCAAAAGAAGGCATTGACACGTGATCGTATGCAAACTCCACGGGTTGATCGTCGCCAAATACGGTTTCAACGACTTTCCTCTGTCGGAATATACTTGCTTCGTCTTTCTTTGTCTTTCTTTACCCCCCCGCGCAAAGCCCACCCATCCATGGCCACGATGCGATCACTGGACCCTGAAGTTTACTGCAGCACCTTTTACCAAATACTTGGCTGCCTACGCTGGTTACCCAGCCATGGAAGCCGTGGAAGCAGGGGTTAAGACAATGGTACCTCACCCCTTGACGATCATGCTGCAAGTGTGCTGGTGCAGGGAGCCCACATACACTTCCTACCGAGGGCAATTTTAGTAAGTCTAGAATTCTCTGACTTATACTTGGAAGTATGGAGTCCCCACCAACCCCCTCGGATAGGGATACTATTCGACCCACAGTAACGGTGGCATCCGCTCACGCTCCTCTTTCAGTTACAAATGATACCGATATGGTATTAGCCATGAAGGGGAAAGGCGTACCATACAGGATTCGAGAACAATTCTGTCACTCGCTGCTGACCTCATGGTTTGCTGGATATGTGGCAATGCTACGCACTGGGGTCAACGCGATGGCATCAACGCTCAGATTTTGGCCCCCTAGATGCGCAGGGAATGCATCTTAACCAGTTCTGAACATGCCGCAGATGAGACACGCTCCCCCCACTCTGGGATGCTGGGTAATTCTATCTCTGTATAAAGCTTGCTGCCCTTCAACATGGGGCCAACAAGTATGGTGATTTCTGGCTCAACAATCTAATTCTGTTGGTGAAGAATACGCCGCTCCTAACAATGGAGGGCCCGTACCGTGTTTACCTCTTTGGAGATCAGACCGGCGACTTCGAAACAGGTCTGCGTCGTCTTATCCAAGCCAAAAACAATACCATCGTTCAATCTTTCTTCCAACAATCGTTCTACGCACTGCGGCAAGAGATCTCGAAGCTGCCACCAGCCCAGCGCAAAATATTTCCCCGCTGCACAAGCCTTATAGATCTGCTCGCCAGATACCGTGAATCAGGGCCGAGCCCCGTCCTCGAGAGCGCTTTTACGTGTATTTATCAGTTGGGGTCTTTTATCAAGTAAGTATCATCGTTTCCAGTCCCACAGCGATCGCTCTAATATGCCTCAAGCTATTATGGAGATTTGGGGAATGCGTACCCATCAGAGGGCTGCCAGCTGGTTGGACTGTGTACAGGGCTTCTCAGTTGTGCGGCTGTGAGTGCCTCGAGAAACGTCGGAGAGCTCCTGCCCGCCGCTGTGGAAGCAGTATTAGTTGCCCTGCGGCTCGGACTATGTGTCTTGCGTGTTCGAGAGCTTGTCGACTCTGAAGCAAGTGCTTCGCCATGGTCCGTTTTGGTTTCGGGACTGAGCGAGGAAAGCGCCTTTAGTTTGATCGAAGAGTATAGCATCAAAACTGTAAGACTAGTGGCTCTCAACATCATCAAAGTACTGACCATTGCAGGCAATCCCCCCGTCGTCAAGGCCTTACATCAGCGCAGTGAGCTCGAATGGAGTCACGATCAGCGCGCCTCCACTTGTCCTTGACGCATTCATCGAGAACGGTCTTGCAAGGAACTACAAACATACCAGGGTGCTGATCCACGGGCCATACCATGCTCCGCATTTATACGACAGCAGAGATGTGGACCGGATTCTGGAATCATTCCCCGAAGAACGTCTCGCGCATTACACGACACATATACCTGTGTTGTCCAGCAACACCGGGACACCCATCGGGGCCAGCAAGATCAAGGAGGTTCTGCAGGTCGCCATTGAAGAAATCCTACTGCGTCGACTCTGCTGGGATAAGGTCACAGAGTCATGCATCTCTATTGTTGAATCAGAAAACAGCCAGTCATGCCAGCTTATCCCCATCTCGACCAGTGCCACACAAAGCCTTCACACTGCTTTCAAGAAGGCTGGAATCGTAAATATCTCGCTCGAAACCGGAATCGGGGATATATCTACAACAGACAAGCCTAATATGAGCGGAAAGACCGAATGCTCCAAAATAGCCATTATTGGTATGTCGGGTCGGTTTCCCGACTCCGAGAG